GTACCTTCAATGGTACTATGTTTAATTAACCTGTTCATTTGTTTAATTAAACTAATAACGCACATATAGTTGCCAAATATGGCACTAACAAGTTTGAGGTCGGCAATTTCGTCTTTAAAAATCTGGGTACATCGGGTTACCGTACACACAATTGTACTGGAAACAACAGTACCAAAGTACAGAAAGTCGTACGCAAGAGCTCCCCAGCAAGTATCGCTGACGCCATAATGATTCCAAAATTTCTCACTGTGTCACAGTGAAATATCTAAACAGCGTCGTTGTGTTGTGAACACATAAAGGCATTCAAGTCGCGTTCTTGCACACTTTTTGCACGTCGACATAGATATCCTTGAACCACTGCCCCTGCTTTGCATAACAAGTGCACCTGAATGAACGATTCAACTTTTATTCAAAGAAATTTCTATGTACAGTCACCAGACTCTATTCAGTAAAGTCCCTGTCAAAACGAAAGTAAACAATCCACGTGCATGGCGCACGGCTACACCATCGTACAGTGTGGCAGGGACACCAACAAGTAACACAACTAAAAAAAATTTAAAAAAAATTGATAAATATTCTGATTGAATTTCGTTAAAAGATACTTGTTGGTGAGGTATCACATATTTTATCACATAAAAGAGGAAGACCGAAAACTTCACGCCGTCACTGAACTAGACACACATGTACATGGTGTTCAAGTACATGTACATGCAAGTGCATGTACATGTACATGTTCAGTTTTTTATTAATCGAAATTAGGGGTGGGTGGGTGGGTCGAAATAATTTGGAAAAAAAGTCGAAATTTTAAACATTGAACATTCTGAATGGCCCCTAAAAAGTGCTGTTCCACAATGCCATTACCACTACCAAAAGTATTACCTCCGCCAAGGAGGCTATGTTTTCATCGGATTTTGTTAGTTTGTTGGTTGGTTTGTCTGTTAACAAGATAACTCAAAAAGTTATGGACAGATTTGCATTAAAAACGTTTCAGGGGTGGTCCTTGGTACAAGTACAAATCGATTAGATTTTGGAAGTGATCCGGATCTGGGTCTGGATCCAGGATTTTGTTTAAGGATTCTTCACCGTATGATGCAAGTATTTCTTTTGTGTGTGTATACTGACAATATGGCGGGAAATTAGCCTTGGCTGAGGTTTGCGCTCTCTGAGTACTTTCTAGTTTGATCTTTTTATAAGGTAAACTCTACCAATATTTATCTTACCTGGAAATAGCAGTGACAAGTTTCGAGGCGCTCTTCTCGTAGTCTCAATAACCACTACTAGCTAGCCACAACACGAACCTGGTTTCCTAGTACAAGCTGTATACTGCTTTGGTTGGTCTAGAAACTCCAGATATATAAACAGTCTTCACACGATCACATGTCATAAGCAACACGAAAATGGGGAAACAACAGTCGCGTGAGTCTATTTAAAGTAGCGGTGTTTTCCATCAGCCTTCACCTTGACGTAGAAGGGACTTGCGCAAAGAGGAAGTAAAAGTACCATTTCCTTTTAGCCGCTCGTATAATCATGGCGCTGTAGCTCCATGGTATAATTAGCTACTGCAAGTTCGTGTTTTATTCGGGACAGTCCTACTTGGGGTTTTTTATGAGCTGTGTGTATTAAGGTCACGCTTGACGGATTTCGAAATAATGACCAAGAGAGGAAGTGTGAATTCAAAGAGAATGTTTTCAAAAATTATGATGCCGAAAAACTTTGTTTTGTTTAACAGGTTTTCGACGTATCCGTGCAGATCCGAACAATACCAAGGAAGTGTGATTTGAACAACCTGGTTAAAGGTAGGCCTAATGAATTTTCTGAAGATTTGAGGTTTATAGCTTTACAAAAACAGAGTCTTTTTGCCGATTCAAGGAAAAACAATACAATACATCTAGGGCGGGTTACCATATCAAAAATTTCAGCTCACTTTTTTGGACTTTTTGAGAAAACTGTGTATTGATCACTTATCATGGGCTGATTTTTACGTGCAATGTCTCATTGGAAAGCTCATAATGCTAGAAAATTATCAATTCAATTTGAAAATCTATTTTTAGAAGGTGCCACACCTAAAAAGCACGTATAGCCTACACCATGCCAACTTTAAAGCATAGTAGTATACCTAGTAATAACAGGAAGCGTCCTTGTTTTTTGGGTTTTTTTTTTTTCAAGCGTAACGTTGCAGCGCGGCTGTACGCATGGGTAGCGAATGACGTAACTTTAATTTTATAACTTTTATTTTAACTCTTTCATTTTCCGTAAGTGGAGCCATGGTAACCTAAAATAAAACGACTCATTTAATTATATGCGCCAAATGCTCAAAAGAGGGCGCTGTGCAAACATCTTCACTTTCGATTTTCAAACTGCCCTTTTTATCTTTAAATCGCATTCGCCCAAAAAAGCGCGGTAACTGGAAATCAAAATTGCGTGTGCTTACAACCGCCCCCTCACCCCCCCCCCCCAAAAAAAATACTTGGTAACTTTTCGACTGTTGCCACACCGTAGACAATTCAAAAAGCCGTAGTTTAACTGATTCAATTAAATGGTGTTAAGTGGCAATGCAACCCCCCCCCCCCTCAAAAACAAACAAACAAACAAACAAACACACCCCCCCCCAACACCCACCCAACCCACCAGGCCCCGGCTTCCCCCACGGGTGAAAAAACATTGAAAAAAGGGGGGGGGAATCGGGAGAAGTGCCCACAATTTGGGGGGGGGGGGGCGGCAAAAGGGAAGTCAGTTGCTTGCCCTACTATTTTCATCCGAGTATTTCTATACTCGTCTGGTGTCTGTACAATTCCTAATAACGATAATCCAATGAGTGTGTTAGTAAGAATGCCTTGAAATTCCCAATCTTATTTTATTCAAGTGACTTTAACATAAATCACCTTAAAATATTTAATTTAAAAGCTCACATCCCATGTGTTAAAATTGGTGTAGGGTGTTGATGATCCTCAGACGACTTCGACTTAGCTTGATTTCAATTTAGGTTTCAACCTTTCGGCTCGATAAACAGAATGTTCATAGAATATTTCCGGGGAGGGACGAATATCAGGAAATAATCGCACTTTCAGCCATGTATATGTAGCTTATAATTATAATTGCCCCTCCCCTTCCCCCCCCCCCCCTATTTTTTACAATATATGTTCCACGGTGACACTCTATCGATCGCAAGTTCGCTCTGCGATTCCCCGGCGCTTTCTGCAGCATTCAAAACCAGCCTGTGAAAGCACTACTTTGCATATCATTACGAGTCGCTTTCACTTTCTGCACTCACACATACTGGAACGCGTATCCTTGTGGAGTCAGGCTTTGTTCTCATGTTCTTAAATGTTAGCATGTGAAAATGTAGTTTCAAAATGCTCTTGTTTTAACCAGAATTAATTTCCTGGGCTGAAATTCGGACGTAATACCCCTTAGGCCAAAAAAAAAAGTCTCCGGTTTCTGGTATGGAGCTTGCCCAAAAACAAAAAATGGTGCGGCGACGCGGCTTTTTTTTTTTTTTACCTGACTTTTTTGCTTCAAATGTCGGCTGATGACTGCAAATGGTGCCCGACTAAACTTAGTGCAAAATGTACGGGAGTCCAGAGAGTCCACATAAAGCTTATTCTCGATCATACCCCCATCTAAAACACGTTTAAACTGTGCTGCAGCAGAATTCCAGTCAAACCAGTGAGTTTGGCGGTTTTGAGACATCATTTTTTATTGAAAAAAAAACTTTTTCATTTTGCCGACGCGCATGGCTACGGCGACGCGCGCGCATACCAGAAACCGGAGACTTTTTTTTGGGCCTTACATTAAATACTTCAATTTTCGACGAATCGCCACTCTTTGGAAATTCCTAGTCCATATCTCTAATTCCCTATTTCGTGATAACCTTGTGAAGACGTGTTCACTTATCGAAATTGTCCTGTGCTGACGTACACAATCTTTTCTTCCCTATTATATACGTCTCCATAAGGTAGAAAATTACGAAATATCGTTGCTCATTTCAACAACTGAAGGACGAACAAACAAAACAAACGCTGGTATTTAAATTGACTGTTCTTTTAATTACTATCACCAAAATAGAATTTACCAGACTCTAAACGACATCTATCAAAGTTTGGAAAAAAGTGGAACTTAGTCAAAGAAAAAGAAATAATGTGAAATAATTCACATCATCGCTGACAAATTAAGACTTGCAGACTTTCTACATTTTCCAAATTGAATACTTAATTCAAAAAAGCGCTTATTACCAATTCCAAATAACATTTTAATTTATTTAAAAATATTTCAGTACAATATAATGCAAAATTTTAATGATAATAAGTATTTATTATAGTTTCACATTGTACATGAATTCATATTAATATACATACATGTAAGTTTTGTATAATTTTTTTATATTGAAATAGAATATTAACAAAGGCACTCATCTGGCAAGTAAATAATAGTATTATCCATGTATAATATGTATCAAGCCATATATGTTTTTATTTTTGGAATAGTTGTGGTCTGCATGTAATATTTTATTTATCAAGTGTTTGCACTAAAAAAAAATAAACTGAAAATTGAAGGACATGTTCTTTGGAGTTGTAGGTTGAAAACATTCATTTCAAGAGATATTTAACCAAACGAAAAAGGTTCTTTCTGATAACAGTTTGAAAAAAAATCTATTACCATTGTTTGCACTGGCCAATTTGCCAGCATTGTAGATAAACATGTCAGGCACATCTGCTGTTGCGAGCTGCATGTGATAAAAAAAATAAAAATTGAAGGATATTCTTTTGGAGTTGTAAGATGAAACCATTCATTTCGAGAGATAAATAACCAAGTTAGTGAGGCTCTTTCTGATAGCAGTTTGGAAAAAAATCTAATTGGGACAGATGGTTTTCACAGGCCAGAACTACCAAATTATTCTGAAATACCTTACTTGACTGTAAGTGAATAATAGTCTCAAGCATCCAGTGAAATCATTGCACCTGGTGTGCTGCCATTTCCAACCCCCAAAAAACGATGGTCGGCTGACCATCGTTGGGAAAAAATGACTTTTTCAAATATTGCCCCCAATTCACCAAATTTACTTAGTCCACATTTTGTTTGCAATCGGTTACACATCCGTGGACGGGTGCAAGCCATCTTGTCTGGCTCCCTGACCTGACAATGCCCGTCTCTGTTTCGTCTGAAATATAGGCATTCCTCCATGAGGTTAGGGAACCAGACTACAAAAACAGCATTTGTTTCTTGGTTTTTCCAGTACTTTGAACACTAAACTTTAACAAGTTAATCATCAGTGTAACAATATTTGCTATTAAATATTAACCCCTAAAACCATCCATTTCTGAAAATTACAACTTGTAGAACGCACTCAAATGTTGTATATTACCTTTATATGAGTTCTAGGTTTATTTTGTGCTGATAAATTGGGCCCATTTAAAAAAATAAAATTTGATTTTCCACCTTCTTAATTCAGCCGTTACAGAAAAATAAAGACAGTCAGAGACAGTTGTCTCATTTCATGTTGATTTGACACTTGAAGCCTAATGTAACAAGGACAAACGTAGAGTGAAAGATACATGGATAGGTTGCATTAGTGTTTCAAAGATAAATAAGGATTTTCAAGTGATATTTTACACATTTTAATAATTAATGACAATTTATGAATTATTTTTTTGTTCAAAGCTGAACAAAGAAATTGACTGGAGCGGGGTTTGAACCTGCGACCTCCGGATTGCCATTCTGGTGCTCTACCAACTGAGCTATCCAGCCTTAAGTTGGCGGTTCCCCATTTTGTCGATGTCTGTGTCCAAGGGGTAATTTGCCTGGTTTTCCACAACCGAACATTTTTTCAAGTACTATAACCATTATTGGCCTTGATCAATTCCAAAAAGAGTTAATGAAAATGTAAAATGTCACCAATATAATCAAAATAACCTCTGGTAAATATTACCAAATATTGCATCTTTAAAACTCCGAATTACTCAGCTGCATATTGTCCATGGCTGACCCTATCTGTCAAAAGTGAGACAAAAATGCCTAAGATCGATTCAGCAATCGAGCAACCTATACAAAATTGCAGAACCTAAGACCGTGTTTATTGCCATAATTGTTTGCACGAGCCTCCCCGAGTTGTTCATCTTCGGTATCACGACCAAAAAATGCAGGCCGGAGTACAGGACCGCGATGAGCGCAAACGGCGTTAGTTGTCACGGCAGCGCCACCGCCAGGTCCACGTCTGGGCTCTCGCTGACCGAGATCCAACGATTCATGATCCACTTCTGACCTTTTGTGACCGGGCAGCCACCGTGCCAGGTGAAGGGGTCCACGTCCCCCAGCCATCCCGTGGAGTTGTTGATGAAGTGGTTGTACCAGACCACGGCTTTGCCCTGCTGGGGGTGGACCTTGAGGTTGGAGTCTCCGCACCGGCTGTTGAGGTTCATCATGCCGGTCTGACGAAACACCTGTGAAGCGAGGTATGCAGGTAAAGGGGATGAACCTGTGTTCACAGGAACGGAGTGCCCATCTCTCTTTCATTCACGATTGGGCCAGACTCCAATGCTGCTGTGGGGGGATCGCCACACCTCCTCCACAGCGAGTCTGTTACCTTCCCAGCATTGGATAATGCCGGTACCCATTTAACACCTGGGTTGAGAGGAGTAATTGAGGTAAAGTGCCTTACTCAAGGGCACAACACGCATGGCCATGGCGGGGCTCGAAGCCACGATCTCATGATCATGGGGCCTGTGCTCCACCGTTGGACCAAACGTGCCCGGGTATACAACACACGGTGAATTTGGAAGAGACTATCAGAGTGGACCAGAACTGGAACAGAGTGATGGACTCTGTGATGGACTTGGCACAAATTTACTCTCTGGACTGGAGGAAGATATGAGGTTGTTATTGAAGGAACCCTACTGATTTTCACATGTGCACCGCTATGAAGCTGCCAGCTCCAACAGAATCTAACAAAGCACATAGTATAGGGTCTCTTGAGTTTGATAGAGTCTGATAAGCACAGTAATTTGAAAGAATGCAGCCTCTGAATCCTTCCGGAACTTCAACGAGTCATGTTGGCTGAATCCAACAGAATGCTACAAGCACAAAGTTTGGTGCCTGCTTAATCCTAAACAGAACTCAACCCATCAAACCCCAATGGCATGTTTTGTTGGAATCTGTCAGGATGGGTACAAGTACCCCTAAACTGACAGTCTTTTACATTGGGTTGGCACACCTCCAGAAATATGCGTGTGTAGTTTCCCATATGGTGTTAGAATTTGCCCGGATGGGTATGGTTCCTAGTAAATCATGCTAGGGAGTTAGAGATTTATCCAACAACAGCACTTGTATAGGCATCTGCTCTATCTAACTGAATCTCTCAGCAAAAAGTAAAGCCTACTGAATCCAATGCAATCTAGCAGCTCCAAACAACAATGTCTTTTCTCGCCTTCCACCGCTGTGACCCAGGTTCGAATCCTGCCTGGGCCAACATGTTGATTGGGTTTTCAGTCCCTACCTGATTCCGTGGGTTTTCCCCAGAATATTCTTCTGGGCTTTTCCTCCCACCTCTAAAACTGTCATTTCTTCTCATTGTCTCCTCTCTACAGGTTTCTTCAGGCTTGCGAGCTTACAGTGCCTAGGGCGCTCTTGAGGATTCCTTGGTTTCATTACCAGAAATAAAATAACAATAATAATATCGACCCTCAGCAGTTGGTGATTTCTTATGCTCACATGCGTGTTGTAGGTTTCGTTGTTGGCAACTGGGAAGGCAGTCTCCCCCCCTTCTTCAACGTCGTTCAGGTAGACCATGATCGTCATGAATCTGTGAATGCAATTATGAAAACAGTAATTTGTTTCTTTTTATACATGATGGCTATTTGATGGCTCATTGCGTATAAAATCTGAGGCCTCAGAACTAGGGCAAGTTGGACCAAGGACCAGTGGTTAACTAATGGTTGGTCGGTGACGTACCCATTGCATGCGCACTGAAGTTGAAGTGCGAATGACTCTGGTCAATCTATTGTCGTGTCAACGACTGTGAGAAAATGGCCGTCACACATCTGCTAAAGAATTTTCAACACTTGTTGCTTCTGTTTAGTTACACAAATAATAGTGATCGTGTAGTTTAATGACACCTTACATGATCGCCATTATTATTGTAGAATGGCGACAACAACCAGACTTGTAAACTAACATGGAAAAACTATGCAATGAAAATCAAATCTAGCACTAGATCCTAGATTATTTTTTTTCTCGGAATATGCAGCATTCATTGAGCAAAAACTTCATCAGGTTAGTCTTTAAGCAGGTTAGTCTGTAAGCACCCGTTTTTAGATTTTGAGCACTTTGCTTCACACGAAAGAAATGCACAAATGATAAATTATCTACCCTAGCTACCTAAGCAAAAATTCTAAGGTGAACACAGCCATAAAAATCAGGCCCGGCTCTTGACTTGCCTGCATATGCGGCAGTGCTTGTCTTCTGTCAAATGGCAGCACGTCGACTCGTCGATGAAACTGGAGTCGTGGTGGGCGTTGTAATGGCCGTGTTTCCCATAATGCACCACTTGGAAGTAGCTGAATTTGTCAATCAGAGCCTGGGGCAGCTGGGTTAGCTTGGAGATTCTGGACAACGACAGGAAAAAGGATGAAATTTCATCCAGAAAATGAATTGTGTACAAAAAGAAAATCCCTGAATTTTTTTTTTATGGTTTGGATAGGTGTCCTTTTTCAAAGGTCTGGTTAACCTAATGTCTTACTGTTCCTAAGAAAAGAAATAAGCTGGTTGTTTATATCGGACGTGGCGGACATTTTGTGGCATACGCATACGTATTTCAAGCCGTGTCCATTCAATGTCCGGTACACGTTGTGTGTGTGTCGCATAATACACACAGCACCAATACACAAATGTTGTTTCTCGCACGTCTGCAGAATGCGAACCACTGTGCGGCAGGATTCACAACTAGCACTCAACAGCTCGATTTTTGAGGGTCAAAATTTGGACCCTCAAAAGTTGTTCTCACATGGTTCTCGCAAGAATAACACAAAAACGCCCAGTTTTTTTAAAGGATGGTTGTGTTGACCTTTATATCCTACTTTTAAATGCTCTTTCCAATTAACATACTTTAGTTCAAAATGCCTTTTGTAGCCAAATTGGGAGCATTAACCACGTAATGTCTCTTTAATTAAACGAAACAAAACATTTAGTGAGAAACTGGTTAAAAACAAATTCCCAAAAACTAAAATCGAGCTGTATTTTTCCCAAACTAAAACTAAACTATTGATCCTCCATGGTGTTACTAATACTCATTTTACCACTAGACATTTTTCAGTACCAAGGTCAAAGTTAAAGCCTGTGCAACAATTCCGTAACACTACGTACTATAAATAGTTTAGGTTTTTTGTTTTTTTTAGAAGGTTAAACCTTTGCCTTTTTCACAAAGGTCGTGTCTGGCTTTTTGTAAATGTCATGGCATGCATGGTCAACAATCTGTTAACTGAAGGAACATTGCATTGAAAACGATAGTAGTTTATGCATTGCTGCCTATCAGGCAGAAAATTAGTAGGGCTGTGGTATAATACACAAATATTGACTGCTTCGAGTGGTGTAGTAAAACTAGCCTCCTGAGGTGATCCATGGAGCATTCTATTTTCCCTCAGCTAAAAAAAAAGATATTAAAAGCAGTCAATATTTGTTTTATAACATCTCTCCCACAGATTCTGCTTGATTTTAAGAGATTACTGAATAATCTCATTTTAACACAATTAAAATGTGCTTCTATTTCTATTTTGAAATTAGTTGAAAATTTACTTGAACTTTTCCTAACCACCTGTTGCATACCTGGTTAAAGATTATACACAAATGCACATGCAGTGCAACCAAGTGAATAAATTCCCATAGACACCAGTGATAAAACCCCATACTTCAAAATTCTTTACAAAAATACTCAGAACTCTCACAGGCATTCAGGATGCACAGAAAAACGATGATCAAAATGTCGTCTTTCATTTTCCTTTCAATTTTTGGTGAGTTGACCGATGACCTTTTGGAGAAATTCTCACCCAAAGAAGACCACCTCTAAAATGAATGATATTTCCCAAACTGGAAAGTAGCCATTTTGAAAAAGGATCCCTCCACAACATGGCTAAGTAGCACCACTTTCAGATCCAATTGCATCCGAAATGCTCAGAATTGGAAGCCCTAGTCCAGGCCAGGAGTGCATAGTGCCATATGTCCTCAATTCCCCAATTCCATGGCTCTCAGAACTCTCTAATATAAAATAATTTGAATATATAACAGTTATTCGTGAGCTCGGCAGACAGATTTTTGGCCTATTTACTTGTTGCACCCTCCAGGGCTAGTCCCCCTGTGAGATGGCCGCCCATATTCTACAACTCACCTGTCTTGGAAGGACTGGACGAGCGGATCCTCGGTCTGGTCTGGGTAGATCCACGTCTGCTCACTGAACCGTGACTTCTTAATTGGCTGTTCCTCCAGCAGCTTTGTGATGTAGGTTGAGATCTTGCCGATGGTCTTGCCATTGACCTCTTGCCTGGACAAGAACCCTTCGAGTTAAGACAGGATGGAAAAAATATCAGCGGTGAGAAATTAGTCGAACATTGTGAAGCGGTGGTGGTAGAACAAAGTGATGCTCCTAATACCAACGGACAGTTGCCTCCCAAAACAAAAACTCCTTCATCAATAGAAATAATTTAAATCATTGTTGGAGTACTTGTTCCCCAGTACTTATTGAGAATACTCGTACTCGCACTCAAGCTTAAATGTCAAAATACTCAGCCTCGAATGCAAGGTACTCACACTCGAGAAACAAAGTACTTGGACTCAACCATTTGATATTTTACTCCATCATCAAAGTACTTGTACTCGATTATAAGCACTTGCGAGAAAAATCAAATAATTTAGTTTTGTATGAAAAGAAAACACCTCAATCTCGGTGGTTTCAGTTTCCACACACTTCTTGAGATTTTAATCATTTTTACTCGAGTACTCCATAAAGTACTCATACTCAAAGGTCTAAGTACTTGTACTTGTACTCAGAGGTTCAAGTACTCAGACTTGGCTTCACAAAACTTTACTCAAAGGTGCAAATACTTGGACTTGGGTACCTGTACTCGTTCTCATGGTCAAAGTACTCATGTGCAAGTAACTTGTACTCAAAAAAAAAGTATTGACTAAAACACTGATTAAAATCTTTAAAGGATAATGATACGAAATTCATTTCGTTTTCCATGTCCTCCCAAATTCTCATGCTTCAATAAAAGCACCACAGAATTGACAGCCAGTCGGTAATACTGTAAACCCCCGAAATGTACACACACAAAAACCACAGCTGCGACAAAAATAAAGCATTAGTAGGGACATCTTCTTGTGGACAAAATGTCTCAAACCATAAAAACAACAGTCAATTCCCTCAAAGAGAGTACACATGCATGTACGTTAATAACAATTAAGGCTTTCCCTTGGCCTACTTCGCCGGTACGTGGTAGCCTTAATTGCAAGGCTGCGCTGTATCAGCTCACACGCGCATCACTGACCATAGCTTAGCCGGCTCTACACACACGACGAAGCCCCAATCCGTCGTACGAGGCCGGAGTACATACTCAAACTGTTATATACTCTGTTCATACTCCGTACAGTACGTGCACACGCATCACCCTATGTGGGAGTCACGGCCCATATGCTTCCACATGGTATGGCTTTAAGTATGTACTATGGGCTTCGACGATCGTGGTTTCGTAATATGCGTGGAGCTGGTGTCATATGAAAATCGGACTCGTATGAAAATCGGACTCTTTTTCCCTTTAATTGGTTAAACCCTCTCATGTGACCGGTCCCTCTCCTAATTATCTCTGCATGAGCATGCGCAATACCACCAATGAGTCCGTATTTCATAAAACCTAAATTCATGCTACACCGGGTAAGCTATGCCCAGTGATGCACGCCTGCTGATGAGCACGGCCTTGAAGTCAAGGCTATGCAGAGGGAGGCCGCGCCACCACCTGTCGCCCCTGCTTAGGGGGCAAGTTGCCTGCTTCGCGGGAGAATGCACGCTTCACGGGCGAACATATAGAACAATTAGCGAAAACCACGCATGTTTGTGATACATACACTACGAAGACATTCATTTGTTCTCATGTAGTACAGAAAACAACATGGTTAAAAACGTTGCCACCTGCAGAATCTCTTATTCCAGAGAGTGGAAAACACTGTGTGGACCTGTGCAAGTCCACATAAAGTTCCTGCATCGTGTGGACCCCTTTTTATTTCACAGGTCCACATAGTGACTACAGAGCCTGCACGCTTTAAAGTGTAGCAGTGATATCATCCAAAGTAACTCACCATCACTGTTTAGATCAATGCCGATCTCAGAATACCTGCAAAACGAACAGAGAGTATATCCAAAACCAATTAAAATGCAAAGAGACAGAAACAAAATCATTCAGTCAGCTTTCATGTAACTGAAATTTTCGACCTAATTTTTATAAATTGTGATGCGATCAAGCTAAACAAGACGTTTGTTGGGAATTTTTATTTGGAGATACAGGCCAAAATAGGGCCACTTCATCACAACACACATCTATTGGTGTTCCAACTTCCATAATTTGTTAACTAAAGATGGTATCAGCATGCGGTTTTCACAGCAGTAATGACCAGGGTCGACGAACAACTTATTTAGCTTGATCGCATCACGATTGTCACGTTTTTCATATATCTTTTTTCCCTAAATTGTTATGTGGATCTTAATGTCCTTTTAAAAAATATTTTGGTCCTTTTTTTTTTTTAAGTAATCTGTCATATGACTGTGCTGTATTGTATGATGTTTGTATTTGCTTGTTGTCTGGGGAGGCCTTTATATAGTGAAAAAAAGGTTCGGTTCTGGTCAATCCTCGGGCCTGTCTTCATTTTCCAAAACCAAACCCAACCAACCACAACCCATCCGCCATTAACCTACGGTTTTGAGCACATATACAGTTGTCATGGTAACAATAGGACGCTGCAAGAAAATCCAGTGCCATGGCAACACTGAATAGGAAGGTAATTTACCGTTGCATGCATCCAGACTCCATCAATAAATTGTCACAGAGATGGGAAAAGAATTATTCAGTATTCAGCTTGGAAATTTTTTAAACAACATAATTTGGAGATATACCCCAAATTAGTTTCATCGCGCAAAAAAAGTTTTCATCTGAGCCTTACATGTTACAGTAAAAGTAGACTTTTTTTTTTAAACTGAAACAGTGTTTTATTACCACAAATTATCTGTAATGATGCTGATAAAAAGAGAATTTTAAACAAATTTTAGCAAACACAGAAAATGTTGGAGTTGGTGAATGGTCGTGCAGTCCATTTCATGCAATTGTAATTCATCTCACAGATGTTGCCTGGTATTCATTTCTGACCCCATGACATTGCCCGTCTTCCTTTCCATTTTCGCCTCGATTGCACATTAGAGGCATCTCATGGGACTTAATGTCGATATTTAAAGGGAATATACATCATTTGCTTTTGCTGTAATTTTCAGAAATGGATGGAATTGGGGGGTTGGAAATATAAAGCAAATATAGTTACACTGACTTTTTGGAGGTTTTGGGTTCGAAAATGCTATAAAAACCAAGAAAAACGATCATTTTCCTGTAGTCTGGTTCCCTGACTCCATATAAGAAGAAACAGAGCAGTTTACATACATTGGGAAATTGTAAGGTCAGGGAACCAGTCTAGCTGGCTCGTACCCGCTCATAGGTTTGTAATCGATTGCAAACAAGTGCAATGGTTAATTGGGGCCAGTATTTGAAAAAAAGCCAGTTGTTTCCAACGCTGATCGGCCGATCAGCGTTGGAAATTGATACAAAAATACCACTTTTCTTGAAAATGACAGTATACCAGGTGCCATAATTTTACAGGATGCTTTAGACTGTCATTTACCAACATCCTGTTAAGGTATTTCGCAAAAACTTGGTAGTTTTATTTTTCGATGTTTGCAAATGTTGTATATTCCCTTTAAAGCTGCAATTTGTTGAATTCTGAATTGGTTTAAGCTGTGGAGTTCATGAGGATAGAGACTGTACTTCGGGCAATTCCATAGTTACAGACGTTACATTCAGAGCCTAAAAAAATGGTTACACCCCTATGTTCCGACTGCACATATTCCTATTCCTAACCCTAACCCTAACCCTAACCCTAACCGGGAGTAACACAATCTAGGTTGTCGGAACATAGGGGTGTCGGAACATAGAGCAGTCACCAAAAAAATATGAAACAATAAAATGAAATACCTGCAGTCAAAGAACATAATTATTATATGTTTGGTTCAACTCTAGCTTAGGCTTTAATGTACATGTACAACATGACATGATTAATGTAATGTGAGCTGAATTAATTATGCCTAATAAGATATAATTGCTGTAATCCGTTATGGATGTATCGCTTTGAGACAGGTTTTTGATGATTTTCAGTACGCATTGATAAAAATCTGTGATGTTTCTTGCAAGAATTTAATATAAAAAAATATGTTGTGGTTGATATAGGTTCACTCTATAAAAACACCAATGACATTTTCCAAAAAGGAACTTTGATGGTATGGAAACATCATGTTTTTGTAGTTATAGACATTACATTATAATGGTACGGATATTACCTGTCTGAAATCACTTTCAAACACGTGATAAAAAAATCATACTGAATCATATTATCCTAAGTGCTGTTTTCTCTGCCTTAATAACAAGATGCATGTGAAAACAAGATGTCAAAATGACTACCTAAAATCTGTCATTTTAGCCCCAAACCCAGTTTTTGGACAAAAATTCATTTAACCACATTGTATCTCACTGGCACACCACTCAAATAAAAGATCTTGTTTCCCCTTTTCCCCTTTCATTTGATACCACATTTGAGGTTGTGATGTTTGTAGTTCTGAAGATTTCATAAATTTTTCATTTTTCAGCCATGTCCACTTTTGCGTGGAACTAACGTACGAGGGCCAGGTCCCAATTTCGTGGCTCCGCGTACTATTAGCGAAAAATCCACAATACTGAAAAAGGAACTTTTGTGCATACAGTTAGTATATTTCATGCGTTAGCGGAGAATTCTTATACCATTCCTTTAAAATATATGTAATGAGAATATCACAGATTACAAATATCAATAAATCTGAAAATGTAAGAAAAAAATTCACCCCTATTTTGCATTTTTCTCCACTACGGCCTGTGCCCAGTTCTGTCTCATTTTGCCAGAACGTCTCCCAATTATTCTATATTAGGATACAGCTAATCGATCCTTTCATTACACAATGCAACCCATGAGTGCCTCTTTAATGAGCAAGCCGAGCGCCGCAATTTGTAAGACAAAACGGCGCGACTCGGCCTTCAATTGACATCAACCGTCACTCTGGCTGTAAAGAGGCGAGCAAGAAGGCATCATAACTGAAACTTAAGTATCGCCAGCGCGATGATGAAGTATTGATGAGGATCTGTGCCAGAAAATTGCCGGATTTTTTCCTTACTGCGCACTTACGTACTACTCTCCTATTTAGAAATATCTTTCTCACACAGCACAAACTAGACTAAATGATCACTGAAAAAAGGGTGGGTAAATTTGGGAATGAATTCTTCTTTTCAACAAATTCTAGATTTTAAGGTAATATGCAACATTTGCAAACATCAAAAACAAAACTTCCAAATTATTGATAATATACCTTACTTGACTGTAAGTGAATAACAGTCTCAAGCATCATGTGGATTTCATGGTGTGCTGTCATTTTCAAGGAAAGTGGAATTTTTGTATCAATTTCCAACGATGGTCAGCCAACCATCGCTGGAAAAAGGCTGATTTTTTTCCTTCAAATACTGCCCCCAATTACCAAATGTTGTTAGTCCATGTAATGTTTGCAATCGGTTACACATCTGTGAACAGTGCAAGCTACCTAGTCTGGTTCTCTGACCTGACAATAGATGACATCTTTACATTGCTCTGTTCCATCTTAAGTAGGGTCAGAGAACTAGACTACAAGAACAGCATTTTTGAACAGCATCTATGAACACAAAACTTTAAACAGGCCAGTCTTACAAAAATCCATCCGTTTCTGAAAATTACAGCATATTACCTTTAACAGGACAGCACATCTCTATCTTTTACAAAATAGGCAATCAAAAAAGCTTTCATTCAGATTACTAAAAAAATATTACTAGAAACCTCGACAAATAGGCTTCGAGGATTCGCTTATGCAGAGTTGCCTCCATTGCCTTTTGAGTCTAGCAGCAGCTGGCAAAATAGCTCAAGGTTGTGGATAAAAAAAATCTGATGTGAGTCCCAAAGCAACGAGATTTAATTTAATTCAGCAGAATTTTCTGTGAGTTACAAGCTCGTAATCTTGTTGAGAAAAAAAATACCCACACTTCCGGGCAGAGCAATTCAAATCCATTTAGAAATTTTAACTGTTCCTTAAGTTTCTCCCAAGGCCACTTTTGATTGTAAAGTGTCCATTCACTTGATTTACTGTCACATCATTGGCCGCTGTTTTGGTCATGTTAGGAGATTCTACATGTCACAATTGTCAGTCAGTCGGTCGGTCTGTCTGTCTGTCTGTCTGTCATGGTGTCCCAGAAAATTGACCAAAAATGCTTGACCAAAAATTGACCAAATGCCATGCCGTTGTCACTAAATGCACTCTTGACGAAAGTTGTCGGGGAAGCTGACTTTGTCGCGATCGATGCCCGTTCGCGTCTATTTTATACATGGCTGTCCAACATGGTTATCCGACCATACTTGGAAATTGATACAAAAAATCCTCTTTTTCTTGAAAACGACAGCACACCAGGTGCCATGATTTCTCAGGATGCTTGAGACTATTATTCACTCACAGTCAAGTAAGGTATTTCATAAAACATGTGGTAGTTTTGTTTTTTGCTGTTTGCAAATGTTGTATACTACCTTTAACCCTACGTGTATGAAAACCTTTTTTTTGTCAGTTCTACATTGATGCTATGCCCATGGTTGTGGCGGATGTCACACTCCAGGATTGGGTTACATCCAAGCGCGGAATAGAGCAGAGGTCTAGCTCTGCTCTAGCTAATGTAGTGTTACCAAAAAATTATTACAAATATATATTTATATTGGTATACCAATCTTAATTGTTCTACAGATGTCAAATCATGAAGGTTTGAGCGTTCATAAAAAAGTAGATGCTTATCTCAGAATATATTACAGAATATTATAAAAGAAATTGTAAAAACGATCATATTTCTACATATCTCAAATCTGAAAGGTTTGAGACGTTCATAAAAGTGGATGCTTATCTCAGAGAGTATTACAGAATATTACAGAAGAAATTGTAAAAACGATCATATTGATACATATCTTAAATCTTAAAGTTGGAGCGGGCATAAAAAGTAGATTACTATCTTGCAGAGTTTATGGAATCGTAAATTTTATGATTGTAAATATCAAGTAAAAAAATGGGTTTGGAATGAGTTGAAAATCCCTGGCACGACATTTCAGCTGCTGGATTTGAAATAGATGAATAATACAATTCAGGTGGTGAATTGTGGTGTAACACTAGACTTTTATATGTACACGATATAACAATTTATGTCAAAACAATTTCTTACTCAAATTACATTCTAAGTACATATGGCAGGCCAATTCAAACATAGCCAAATTGCAATTGAGATCGTAGAATATTAATTTCTCGGAATATACAGCCTTCACTGAGCTGAAATTTCATCAGGTTAGTTGTTTAGCACCCTTCTAGAGTAGGAGCAGGTTTGGTGTTTCAATTGAAAAAAAAATGCACAGACCTATGATATAGACCTACTCTACCTTTAAAACTCCAACTGAGGAAAAAATCCTGTCCATATCTGTCAGTTCTAAGACATTGAATATTAAACCATACAAAACGTTGTTGTCAAAGACTTTTTAAGGACGTCCAGCTTTCAGACAAATACTATTATTAAAAGGATCTTCTTGACCTGAATTTCCAGACAAAGCAAAAACAGGACAGGGAAAAAAAAACAGGTCAGTGGATAACTGGATCCGAGAAACGGTTCAGGGGCAAGATTAGACGACAAATTGATCCCTACACGCTAAGGTGATCATGTCTAATGAACCTTTTAAAATACGTCTCCGGCTTATGGTGTAGGTGTTGACGCTGATTTAGAGAATTACGAGGATGCAAGTTGAGTGCGTCTGGGACGGAGGCTGTTAAAGGTGCTGGTTGCATCTCAGAGTCTTTAAAATATCCTAAAAGCTGTATCCTCTCATTTTGTTGTTGCCCAGATCAACCACTTACATTTGTCTGATGTCATCATCATCCAGGAATACGTCATAGCCGTCTTCTAAGGTCAGTTGAAGCTGAAACAGTGTAATTATGAGTGAACTTCTTTTTTTATCCATTGACAGAAAAATAAAGAATTTGCCAAAAAAGTGCAACATTCAGAAAAACAAACAATTAAAACTGTTTAATGTTTTTTTTTTTAACAATAAAATAATACATTACATTAAAGCCCGACTATTTTCCAATCTGCTCCTTTCTACGCCATTCTATTTGTGTCCCTAGATCCAGAAAAACAATCAATTAAGTGAAAGGGTGTAAATTTTACTTGGGCCACTCTCTCCTGGATATGTGATGCCAGCAAGCTGTTAATGAGTCGTTTGTTGACCCGGTCGAATTTTTTGTATATTACAGATTTGAAAAGAGCACAATCTCAGCATGACTGCTGTGAAAACTACATGCTGATACCATGTTTAGTTCAAAAATTATGGAAGTCGGAACACCAAAAGATGTAATGAAGTGATGTGATGAAGTGGCCCTATTTTGGCCTGTATCTCAAAATGAAAATTCCCGACAAACGACTCATGTAGCTTGATCGCATCACATACGCTGAATCTGGGTTAAGCATTGAATAGGAATTGAAGTTGGTGACATCACAGACCACCTCCAAAAATGAGGCACTCAAATATCCTAAAACTTCACAAAAACAGTTTCTCGAAGAGCCAAACTTTTATGTAACAAATTGTCACAAATCTAAATCTACACACTACTTCTAAATTTTACCTTTAAAATTACTTTTGCATTACTTCAAGTCTCCAAGTTGTTCAGCTAGACTTTCATACAGAGTTGGAAAATGATAAACCACTACCTCTTCTCCATCCCAAAATATTAAATTCAACAACAACAGATTTGGTAAAATCAGTCCCAAAACTTCCATTTTAAAAAGACGAAGAAAGTTCTTACCTCCCTCAGACTAAGCTTCTGGTCTCCGTTGACGTCGCGCAGTGCGAGGCCTTTCCCATTCCCAGTTGACTTGGTGGCGCTATCATGCAAGCCCTGTTCCTTGGCTAATGATATGATATGGCTACACTCTTCACTCGTGAAGAAATTAGGGATTTCTGGTTGGGAAGTAAAAACAAATTATACAATCACTGAAAAAAAATTGATAAATCTTCCAAACACAAAAAAAGCTTGATAACACAGCTGCTAAAAATGTATGTCAAGGAATGTCCTATGAAAAGTGCTTCAAAATTGTACTGTGCAGTCATACATGAAATGAAGGCACCCCTTAAACAAAGACATTGAAAAAATGGGGAACCACCAACATAGGGCTGGATAGCTCAGTTGGTAGAACGCCGGAACGGCAATCCGGAGGTCGCAGGTTCAAACCCTGCTCCAGTAAATTTTTATGTTTAACTTTGAAATTCCAAAGTTAAAGTAGTCAGTTTTTAGAAATTTAAAAAGAATTCGAGAAGGGCAAACTCTATTCAAATCTCAATTTCAAATTGCAAGTGTGACATTTTTCAAAACCTACCAAATATAACCGGCTTCATGTTTATGGTTTTCAGTAGGTGTGTTTTGCCTGGCACAAGCTCCAGTTCTTCCACATGGCCGACCTAATTTGGAGTAAAAAAAAAACAATACATGCCAAATTATTCATTGAAATGTATCCCCATCATATTAAAGGGGACAAACCTGTGTTCACAGGAACGGAGTGCCCATCTCTCTTTCGAAGCGATAGGGCCAGACTCATATGCTGCTGTGGGGGGATCGCCACACCTCCTCCACAGCGAGTCTGTTACCTTCTCAGCATTGAAGAATGCCGGTACCCATTTAACACCTGGGTTGAGAGGAGTAATTGAGGTAAAGCGCCTTACTCAAGGGCACAACACGCATGGCCACGGCGGGGCTCGAACCCACAACCTCACGATCATGAACCCTGTGCTCTACCGCTAGACCACACATTTCCACACGTGCCCATCATATTAGTGCTTCACGTTTTTGAATAATTTCAGTTTTCGATTATTTGAACTTGGCTTTGATTGAATACTCAAATATTTGAAAATTGACATAGAGGTGACAGTTAAAATTATTATTTTTCAAGGTTATCTGAGTACTTTGACAGATCTTGAAGATTTAAAATGAGGCTAACATTCCTCCCGGAGCTCTCATATCATGCATGTAAAGTGACCATTCACAAAAAGCTGACGAAAAAGAATAAAATCACTGAAATTCCCAAAAAAGTTGTGCAAGCAGACATCTTTAAATTTCTCAACAAATATCCAACATCAGCATTTCATGTTGATGGAGTATATTGTACATTGTACTCTTTTTAAAATTTGATGAAAATCCATTCATGCAAACCAGAGATACAATAGATTATCAATGGCAAACTGTTTTTCACCTGTTCCAATGTGATTTACACAGTAAAAGAGGTTGTGGAATGCTCGAAGACATTTCCGTCATTTTTCGGGTATATGTAGCCTAAGGTGTGATGAAATAAAAACGACTATTGTTTCTGTCATTAAATGAGTACAAAAGGTACTTTTGAGAGCTGTTTTTCAGGTCCAGTTTCGACCCGAACGTGCAACTGTGTAAAAGTCGTCGTTGCGGACAGCAAACAAAATGCAGTAAATCGTGACGTAATAAACAGGACTCGTGTATGCTACTGTGCATACAATAGTCGTTTTTATTTCATCACACCTTAGGCTACATATACCCCAAAAATGACGGAAATGTCTTCGAGCATTCCACAACCTCTTTAATGAAAAGACCCATTGCAGAGTGCCGGTTGAGCGATTTCCAATGCAATGTGTAATTCCCATTGGAATGGTTGAAAAACACACATCCTTATATAATCTGCAACAGCTCTGGTATGCATGAATGGGTTTCCATGACATTTTGATTGATTATACACAAGAGTATAATTAATACACTCCATCAAATTATACTTATGTTAGGTACTTTGAAGAAATTTAACGGTATTTGCTAGCACAACTTTTTTAAGGTCACCCTGTACAAATAATAAAAACATCATGTACAATTTTTTGTAATTTTCTTGCGACCACTCACATTCTTTTAATATTTGATTTAATATTTGGATATCGGTAGATGATCAATTATTCAGATATTTGGTATTTTTGGAACAGCCCTACATTGCATTGACCAAATTGGCTGCATCATGATTGTCAAGAATTACCGGTAGATCCAGTAGCTGCCAATGAAAAATAAAAAATTAATAATGCATTTCCATGGTAATTACGGGATTTCTCCGATATCACCTGTTTCATCTGTGAAATATAGAACTGGCACAGAATTGTCACAACACACCATAGGAGTTACTGCCCTTTTGCAGCTCAATGGCCCACTCTCTACAAAGCCATGAATAAGTTATTACATGACTTCATGCTAAATTACACTGCACTTTTCCACCTGAAATCCAATATGGCGGGGATTTGATCATTTGACATTTGAGGAAAAAGAAAAAGAAAGAATATTCAAACAACTGGGTAATCAATGCTGGGTTTTTGTTCAAAATTTAGATCTACATGTATGTTGCAATTAGTTTCCAATTAATGACTGAATTAAAAGAAAGCCGATTTTACTATCTTTTTTTTTTGAGAGATGAACCCTAACCTTCCCTGGAAAAATACATCAAAATCCATTCCCCATTTTGGGGATTTTGGTAGGCAAGCCATGAGTACCAAGTCCATCAAAATCCACCTATAGTAGTGGTGGTCTTGTGGTGCATTTCAGCAGATTTGGTCCTGAAGCATTATGTGAAGCAGGGTCAGTGATGGATTTAGGTGGAATCGGTCAAGTACTAAAAGACACCAGGAACTTTACAGAGTCAATTTGTGTTGGAAAGAAGTAGAAAAAGAAAAAGAGTTCAACTCCTCCCTTTTTTCCTCTCTGAATAAAAGGCATGATTGTTATGAGCACAAACAGATCCGCTTTGCAAGCAGACTGGCTCCCTCCCAGCCCATACATTATTGATACTGCTTGTTGGGCGGGAACCAGCCTAGCCTATACGAGAACGGAATTGTCTGGCAGCCAATAATTTGAAATACTGTAAAATAACAAATCAACAACCATTGGGCCGCTGCTTGCGGTCGATGTCTCATTCAAGAGTGAATAACTTTGTTTCGCTGCAAAATAGCAATTTTGAAATGGAATCTATTTCGTGGGATGAAACTCAAAAACACCTTGGGGAAACTGGAAATCTTGAGTGCAACCAATTTTCAAGAATGAAAACTTATTAAAAGTTATTTTCTCAAATATTCTGAAAAAATGAAAGTCTGCCCAGAAGGGATGCAGTGTATTTGCATCTACCCCCCCCCCCCCATCAAACTGGCCCGCCCATCTTTGTCCAAATGATACTACCGTCTCTTCAATACTTGGCTGTCTAGACAATCTTCTCAGCTCCGTAGGTTCCCTGTCCCTGATGCATCTATATTGATCTACTCAATTAATTTGCAATTAGAACGGAGGGCTGGACGCGGACACGAACACCACGCTGCACTCTGCATTATAAACCTGGGATATGAGGGTCATGCAAACATTCATTAACTCATTGAGAAGCTTTCATATTGACCTACAAACAGCAAATGCGTCCTACTTCAGCTGCGCTGGAGTGGGATATTTTGGGCAGTGTTTGAGTTTTTGTATGGGTTTAGTATACTTGACAGAACATTGACTCAATGGTTTGTGGCTCTAACTGGTTTTTATTTCAACTCAATTGAAACTAATGATCGTGATTACTGCGGAATACTACCGTTCAACTTGAATTGTTTGAATAATTATACACCAACTACTGAGTAACAGCGTTCTGGCAGATTGCAAAGATGTGAACTTTGAAACATTGTTCCAGGCAATGTCAACAAATTACAGTTTTTGTTTACTTGGATAAAATGGTGTACTTGTACAACGTATAGTCACAATATTTTCAGTCATTTCTGATCAAAATTGATCCTCCAGACACCCTACAAGATTCATGAGAGGTGCATTTTGTTTGGCAATTTTTTTTTTACATTTTATTTTCTGTCAATCGCGAGACAACAGAAATGATCACACAAGTGTGCACGTATTGGGAATGGCGCAATGCATCGTTAATTCCATTGCAATGGAATGATGAATAACTAATTTATTGCCTTCTGGGCAATTTCTAGACGTCACCAAACCATAGGGCGGTGTGTTTTCGAATAATTTAGTATTCAACTATTCCAACTCGGACTTGACCGAGTATTCAATTTCGAAATGCACTTATCAAGTTAAACATTTGCTAGCCTAAACTGGCTCAGTGCCGATCGGGGATTTGCGTGTGTTAATGAGGTTATTAACCCCAACCGTCCTCAATCCTTCAAAGTCCACCAGGCAATTTTGGAAGATTTTGGAGGATTGAGGCTGAATGCAACCTACAAATTTTGGAGGATTGTGGAGGATTGAGGGCACATGGACATTCCGTATGGGTTGATTTTGGAGGATTGAGGATGAATGGTGTTTGAAGTGAGAGGATGATTTTGGAGGATTGAGGCTGAATGCAACCTACAAATTTTGGAGGATTGTGGAGGATTGAGGGCACATGGACACTCAGTATTGGTTGACTCAGTATTGGAGGATTGTTTGAAGGAGCGGATAATTTTGGAGGATTGAGGCTGAATGAAACATACAAATTTTGGAAGATTGAGGAGGACTGAGGGCACATGGACGTTCAGTATCAGTTTGATTTTGGAGGATTGAGGCTGAATACTGTTTTAAGAAGAGGATGATTTCGGAGGATATGAGGCTGAATGCAACATACGATTTTGGAGGATTGTGGAGGACTGAGCTAGGCACATGGACATCCATCAGTTGATTTTGGCGGAATGAGGCTGAATGCAACACACAATTTTGGAGGATTATGGAGGACTGAGCTAGGCACATGGACATCCAGAATCGGTTGATTTTAGAGGATTGAGGCTGAATGATATTTGAACTTGAAGAAGAGAATGATTTTGGAGGATTGAGGCTGAATGCAACCTACAAATTTTGGAGGATTGTGGAGGATTGAGGGCACATGGACACTCAGTATCAGTTGATTTTGGAAGATTGTTTGAAGGAGAGGATGATTTTGGAGGATTGAGGCTGAATGAAACATACAAATTTTGGAAGATTGTGGAGGATTGAGGGCACATGGACATATCGGTCGATTTTGGAGGATTGTTTGAAGGAGAGGAAGATTTGGGAGGATAGAGGCTGAATGCATTTTGAGAGGCGGGGCTGTTGGAGGATTTTGAATGATTGAGGCAGTGGGTATTATATCCTTCATTTGAACATAAGTGCAAAACTGAAGGATTTTGGAGAAATATGAGGATGGTTCCTATCAAAAAGGGACTAGGGGGTAGGGTTAAACAATATTAAGAATAGGTAAGAGTGGCTGCTATTTTTGTTTTTTTAATTTGACTAATTTTAAAGAAGAAAGTTGAGGTAATATTCCCCATGAAAGTTCTCAAATCCTACACGATAATGGCTTTACAACAAAACTGTGGCACTTGACAAAAATAAAAACACACAATTTAATCATGTCCTAGAGAATGCTTACATTTTTTAATTGAAAAATGATTTTCAGAATATTCGG